AATTATCAAAAATCTGCTGAAATGGGAAATGCCCCAGCAATATATAATCTCGCAGATTGTTATCGAAATGGAATAGGAGTTGAAAAAGATGAACAAAAGGCATTCGTTAATTATCAAAAATCTGCTGAATTGGGATATGCTCAAGCAATATATAACGTTGGATTTTGTTATATGAATGGAATTGGGATTAAAAAAGATAATTATAAAGGATTTCTTCATTTCCAAGAATATGCCGAGATGAAAAACGCTAATGGAATGTCTCGACTTGGTTATTGCAATAGAAATGGAGTTGGAATTCCGAGAGATTTACAAAAGGCTGACGATTGGTATCAAATGTTAATAGTCTATTTATTAATTTTTACTGTAATTATAATTTTTTAACATGTAATTTCTAATAAAAATTAGGGCAAATAATAAGTTGTTGGGTAATTTTCAAGTTATTAAATTTACATTTGATATGCGTAGTATAAATTTATTTGCTAATGTTTTTTTTTTTATTCATAAATAAACGGACAAAAGAAAATTCTGGCATTGATGAAGATGTTAAAAAATTATTGGTTGAGGGTAAATATCCAATATCATGGATTTCATATAAAGAGTTCATGGATATTAGAAAAATAGGACAAGGTGGATTTGCAACAGTATTTTCTGCCAGTTGGGTAGATAAAAAACAAAATATTTGGAGAGATGTCGCGCTCAAATTGATCGATAGATCAAATTCTTATAATGAAGAATTTATAAAAGAGGTTATTTTATTATACGTATGATAATTATTTTTCTTTAATAATTTTTAAATACTATATTAAATACTTTATTTTTCAATTTATTATTAAAGTTAAAGGCGTATTGTGATATAAGTTCTAAACATCCTTCATTTTTAAAATGCTATGGAATATCAAAAGATGATTCTGGAGATTATATCCTTGTTCTAGAATATGCAAAAATGGGTTCTTTGCGTAAAAATCTTCACTCTGTAGCACAAATGAAATGGACGGATAAATTAACATTATTGCATTGTATTGCTTCTGATCTTCAAATAATTCATTCTCGAGAACTTATTCATCAAGATTTGCATAGTGGTAATATTCTACAAGATCATTTACATAGCGCTTATATTGCAGATTTGGGACTTTCCATATCAGCAAATATAGCATTAAATGCAGAAAAATGTGGAATTTATGGAATTTTACCATATATAGCACCAGAAGCTTTAGATAGAGGTTATTATTCAACAGCATCAGATATTTATTTATTTGGCATAATTATGTGGGAAATATTATATGGAAAGCCTGTATCTTATAATCTTGAATTTGGATCACAACTTCAAATTGAAATATGCAATAATGACTTACGGCCAACAATTATCCAGAATACTCCACAATGTTACATAAATTTGATGAAGAAATGTTGGGAAAAAGATGAAGTAAACCGTCCATCAGCAATAAAAATCTGTGAAATCCTTGCAGAATGGATGAAAGACGAAAATATTTTATTAGAACTAAGTAAATCAGAAGAAGCAATAAGAAATATTAAAAGTACACATATACAGAAATATCTTGATGATATTTGCAAAAGTAAATTTATTAGTTATACTACATCGTTTTATTAAGGTATCTATATCTATTATTTTGCATTATAAGATTTATTCTTTAATATTAATTATAATTGTTTATCAGATAGTGAATTGAATGGGTTTAATATGGATGTGTTGAATATTATTGAATGATATAAAATATACTTTGATTTGAAAAAATGTATATTGTAAATTTCATTTGTTTTAGGTTTGACTGTTTCTTAGTGGGCATTTGACTGCAAATTTTACATACTATACCACATTTTATTTGCCTATTATTATTTTTTAAGTAACTATATAACAGATAACTTCTGAAAGTTGTATATTATTCGCAAAATAAATTCTTTAATAATTAAAAGAGTAATTTTGAGATTTCACACAACTTGAATATAGTATTTCTGAACTGACTAAGTTTATACAGTATCAAACCTATATGCGTTTATGTTGTGATATTTTGTAGGTGGGTACAGTACTGAATATCCGTAGATTCTGAATCTAAACGACTTAAGTAAAAAATAAGTGATATCCTAATAATAAAATACCCTATTTTTAGCTGCCCGATATAAAGTGACAGAGCAGCATTTTGTCTCGGGTTATTGTATCATTTCGTATGTAATTTTAATAGCGTAATGACTTAGTATTTTCAAAAAATAATTATTAGTATTTAAGGGGAACATAATAAGGCAATATCTGTTCTTTTCTGCTAGCACGACTCGTTTCTTCGTCCCATACTATCCTTATCTCATCAACGAAGCCAAAAATCCGGTAGTCTTCATAGAAACTATGATCTGATGATTTGTCGGGATGTCATTGCTTGTTTGTTTTCAGATAAATTATGACTTGTCAGACGAAATCATATTTCGAGATTTTGAATCAAAGCGACTCATGATGATGAAGGAATTTGTGTAAACTAGTCTAATGTTGGTTAGCATCGTAATCAACGGGTTTTTTTTTCACCTCACTCTCTATCAATAACACCTTGGTGGTGTAAGAAGACGGGGCCAGAATACCGAGACAAATTACGAAAATTGAAAATCAAAAGAAGCGTGTTAGATTTGGACAAACGAATGTATGTAGTTCAGTGTTAGCAAATGACCGGTTATTTGATTTTAAATAACCAAATGACCAATTACCAAAATAATGACCAAGTCATTTATTATTTGGTCATTTAAAAGTAGAAGTTACACAAACCTAAATTCGGCAATTTTATTGGCTAGATCTTTACTATACTACTTTTATTTATAAGATTAAGCTAATTATTATTAACATAAGTTAACTTTAAATTAAGCTATATATGAGTACTCAGCTTAAGAGTTTCGCAGCATCATATCACGCGTACAAGTGTATAAATCCCGAATTAAGTGAACCATCAGATATAAATTGGATTAACATCCGTAATTGCTCCCCAACCGATGGTCACAATATGGTAAGGGATATAAAAGAAATCCAGATTAATTCAATAATTCGAGAGTCAGTTATCATAATACTGATGAAACCATTCTGGAGAAGAGTCGCTCTAGCACTTTTATTTTTATAATTTTTATATTTGGTCATTAGGTCATTTCAACTTTCAAATGACCAAATGACCAATTCATTTGGTCATTTGGTCATGTTCATTTGAAATTGCCAACAATGATGTAGTTTATTATATGTATAGGTACTTTATTGTTTGGTAAAGTGGGAACTAACTTCTTCCAAATGCCTTTATTTACAATTGTGAATACAGCTATTTACATTGCAAGAATCATCTATATTAACCAATAATATTATTTTGACAACAGCTTATGGCCCGGTTAAACCGAGTTATTTGTGAATTTATTCGGATGCAATCTCTACTTTTACGTGTTTCGTTCAGATATAACGTATTTAAGAGAAATTTTTTACAAAAAATAAAATTTAATATGCAGTCTTTTAAGATGATATTTTATATCGATCATCAATATTCAACTCATTTAATTCACTACCTGTTAAATAATTATAATTAATATTAAAGAATAATTTTTATTTTATATAATATAATAAGCATACTTACCGTGATAAAATATTGTAGTATAATTAATAAATTTACTTTTATAAATATTTTCAGGATATGTTTGTATACGTGTATTTTTAATATTTTTTAATAATTCATCTGAATTAGTTAGTTCTAATAAAATATTTTCATCATTCTGCCATTCTTCAAGGATTTCACAGATTTTTGTTGCTGATGGACGTTTTACTGGGTCTTTTCCCCAACATTTCTTCATCAGATTTATATAACATAGCGGTGTATTCTCAATAATTGTTGGCCGTAAATCATTACGACATATTTCAATTTGAAGTCCTAGTCCACATTCCAAATTATAAGATACAGGTTTTCCATATAAAATTTCCCACATAATTATGCCAAATGAATAAATATCCGATGCTGTTGAATAATAACCGCTTACTAAAACTTCTGGTGCTATATACGGTAATATTCCATAAATTCCATGATTTTCTGCATTTAATGCTATATTAGCAGATATAGAAAGTCCCAAATCTGCAATATAAGCACTATGCAAATGATCTTGTAAAATATTACCACTATGCAAATCACGGTGAATAAGTTCTTGAGAATGAATTATTTGAAGATCAGAAGCAATACAATGAAATAATATTAATTTATCCTTCCAATTTATTCGCGCTATAGAGCGAAGATTTTGACGCAACGAACCCATTTTCGCATAATCCAGAACAAGTATATAATCGCCAGAATCATCTTTTGATATCCATGGCATTTTAAAAATGAAGGATGTTTAGAACAAATATCACAATACGCCTTTAACTTTAATGTCAAATTAAAAAATAAGTACTTAATATTTAAAAATTATTAAAGAAAATAGTGATCTTCTTTAAAAGATTTTGAACCGTGGATTAATTTAAGTGCAACATATCTTCAAATACCTTGCCTAATATCTTTCCATTCGGCATAAGATACTGTTGCGAATCCACCCTGTCCTATTTTTTTAACAACTATGAGCTTTTCATAAGGAATCCATAATAATGGATAATTTTCTTCAATCAGTAATTTTTTTACATCATTATGAATAGTAAAATTTTCATTCGTCTGCTCATTTATAGCTAAAAAAAAATATTAGCACGTAAATTTAAACTATTCAAGAGTAAATTAAATAAATTTATATTACCTAAGATTTTATTTTTTTCCCTAATATTGGAAACGTACATTAGAAGATTATAACCACGGTAAAAAAAAAAATAAAAAAATAAAAAAAAGATAAAGTAAATAAATATTATTTACATTTTATACCAAAAGTCAGCCTTCTGTAAATCTCTTGATGTTCCAATACCATTTCGATAACAATATCCAACTTGAGACATTCCATTAGAATAACCCATCTCGGCAGAGTTTTTATAATAATTAAACGCCTTAATTTCGTCCTTTCTGATTCCCGATCCATATTGATAACATTGTGCAAGGCTATAAATTGCAGAAGCATTTCCCATCTCGGCAGATTTTTGGTAATTAATAAATGCTTTATATAAATCTTTTTTTTCGATCCCAATTTTATACCCATAACAGCTTCCAAGGTTATAAATTGCAACAGCATTTCCCATCTCTGCAGACTTTTGATAATGAATAAATGCTTTATGCTTATCTTTTTTGATTCCCAAACCATATTGATAGCAATACCCAATATCGTTTATTGCAGTAGCATTTCCCATTTCTGCAGATTTTTGATATAAAGTGAATGCTTTATGTTCGTCTTTTTCAACTCCTATTCCATTTAGATAACAGTATCCAAGGTTATATATTTAATCAGCATTCATATTGACTATTTTTGATAATTAAGTAAGCTCTTATTTTGAATCACTATTACCTAATGATAATTGTATTTAATTTCATAGAAGTTTAACGTTTCTTAATTTTTTATGTTGAATTCATTTATCATCATGTGCAACTGTTTAACTCACTATTTGGATAACAATTAATTAGTGTTTCTTAAGGATCAGAACTAATTGGATAATAAAATTTTGTGATCCAAGTAGAGGTGTGGGTAGAACTATTTCAGTGAACCGTACGACGCATAGAAATTGCGGTTACAGTTACGGCAAAAACCGTATGAATCCTAAAAACTGTATAAAAAGTCCATTAACGAAAATTTTTGTTTACAATAAATAACAATAATGAAATTCTAAATAAAAATAGTTCGTATTTGCTATTTTCTTGATTATATTATAATATCGATCAACTTTTTACATTACTTCACAACAATTAAAGTTGTTACGCATCATAAAATTGACAGTAATCGAAATAACTCTTCCGAAGAAGAAAATTTTTATCCAATCAGCGTAAAAAAAGACGTCGTGGCGGACCTAAATGAGATCCGGTTTGGGATGTCTGGAATACCAATTTGCAATTTGATGACATGGATAACTATAAAATATTATTTAATCCTGAAATTTTTCAATATTTTAAATTTATAACGAATTGAGTTGTAAATTAATTTATTTTTTAATTCTAATTGATTATTTTAATATGCAAATTATCAACTCTGAACATAACAATAATTAAGGTAGTCAATATCTGCGGAATGCTAGTATAATAAACCACATGACTTAATAATGATATCAGCCGTATCCTGCCAAGTTAAATATTCAAAATCAATTTTCTTCAGTTTTCTTGAATTAATGTATATAATACAAGATAAACGAGGATATTATTCTATATATAATTGTATAATAATAAGTACAAAAAAATAAAATTTTATGTTTAAATTAGTCATTAAGTAATGCAAATGTAATAATATAAAAGTAGAAATGATGTAAAGGTAGAATAGGTAATTGCAAATGGATATGGAACATCTGTAAAAGAATAAATTTAACTGTATGGTCGAAAAATTTCCAGTTTTCATAATTTTTATTATGCCTAAAAGTTTTTTGAACCAATCATATGCAAATTTAGAGTGACTACTGAGATTAAAAGTGATATTTTAATCAATCATTGTAAAATTTCTTATCAGTTTTTTATATAGTTTACTTTATGGCTCCTTAGATAATTTACGAGCTCATCAGTTTTTATATAGCTACCCTATAGTAATTTAATAATCACAATGTTCCGACTGTAATTTTCGCCAATACGATTAATATGTCTTTTATTAGCTATACTGTATTTAAAGCAATTGTATCTTAAATTTAATAAAAAAATATTAGCTCAAGAAGAACTTTCTTTTGTTTTAAATTTTTGTCAGTAAGCCGTGCATAATTTGAGAGTATGCATAAAGCTACCATCTATCAAGGTGTTATTGAGGTGAAAAATTGCCTGTTAATTACAATGCTAACCAAAATTAGACAATTTACACAAATTCCTTCGTCATCACGAGGCCACTTTCGCTTCAAAAATTCGTAATATGATTTCGTATGATAAGCCATAATTTATCTGAAAACAAACAAGCAATGACGCCATCGGATCATAGTTTCTATACAGACTACCGGATTATTATTATTTGCTTAGTTAGGCAAGTAAAGTCAGGTTAGTAGAAAAGAACAGATATTACCTTATCTGGGAAAAGGCACATTTTCCTACTAAAAATTATTAATAGAAAATACTAAGTCAATTACTCTACTAAAATTACATACGAGATCATACAACAAACCATGATCGATTCGTGACGAAATGCTTCTCGGACACTTCGCATATTTTTTTATTAAGATGTTACTTATTTTCAATTAAGTCGTTTAGACTCAGAATCTACGGATATTACGTACTGTACCCAACAAAAAGTATCAAAAACATATACAGTATATTGGCTTGATACTATATAAACTCAGTCAGTTCAAAATACTATCTTCAAATTATAAAATTACTCTAGTATATATGCTGTATGAAACGTGAAATTATTAAAAAAGAATTTATTAAAGAATTTATT